TGAGGGCCCCCACCGCCCTGCCCCTAGAATTTTGTGAGGGAGGTAAATCACGGAATGTGCCCCATCAAGTCAGGGAACAAGAGCCACATGTACACTGCGTCTATATGGAGTCCAATTCCATGTTTCAGGAATCGAACCCTACACTACGGGTGGCAGCAAGGCGTGAGATAACATCACTCCTGTCTTTTCCAGTTATGGAGGGTTATGTGAAATGGATTGATGGGAAAATTAATATTTCACTCATCAAAGTCATTGGCAAAATTGAAAAATGTTATTAAGGTCCTTGGGGGCGTGTCTAGACCATTTCTTGGAGTTACTACAATCCCACAAAGTTAAATTATCAAAATCTGCATCTTGAAGTCTCATAATAACTTTCTTTCGTTATAGAATGACTTTTATGTATAATACTTTTTATGTTATCATGTGTGCCAAACATGGTACGTTTGCTATATAATATTGGATAGAACTGAATGGAATTTGAACTTTATTCATGAATAGACTATACGAGTAGGAATTAGAGTTTTCTGTGCTCAAAATCATGAATAAGCTTAATAAAATAGTGTTACGACCCTCTTAGTTGGCAGGTCCTAATAGGAGAGGAGTCACCACACAGGACACTTGTCTGAGCCCACAAGCGCCTGACCCATGTGAATCAGAGGCCACATATAACACCAGCAAGCAGCAATCCCAATGAGTCGAGGCCAAGCTGCAAACGATCTCAATACCAAATCTCCCAATCAATCTTTTGATGTGATTGACGTAATATCTCTGTCACTACTATTACTGTCAACCTATCTAGTCAAGTCCATAGCATCACACTAGGTAATGAGTGATAGTGACAATGACAACCTATTGTTGATTGACGCATGCGATAGAAAGTGGTAACAGCATAGATGGAGCCACATGTCCTTCCATCCAATGGTCATAAATCATATTCTTACACTATAAAAGCTCACACTTAGTGTCATATTACCTTAATTTTAGACTTTCAAAATATATTTCTCTCTGTATACACCTTATACTCAAAATTAACCTCCATTTTCATTATATTGGAGGTTCACGTCAAAAGTCTTCTCACATCTATCTATTTGAATATCAAATTGACTTGATCGTCGGAGTGCGCATGGCAAACTTCACCCCTTGCCTAAGGAGGCCATGTGTGACTAACAGTTTGTTTTAGTGTGCTGAAATAGGCTTGCATAGACGTTAGAGGTATTGAGATCTGTTGACCACGTCAGAGATACATTTTGAGGGGTCAACAAATGGACACATTCGATAAAACTACTGAGAAAGTGAAATTGTACTAGTCAGAACCATGTCCATTATTTATTAGGGTCAATCAATTGCCTCTGCACTGGTTTGAAATTATTGGGATCAAAATACATTAGTAGGAAAATAAGTCGAAATATCTTTCGAATGAGTTTCAACTCTGATAAGGCGATCACACTTCATTCACCTAAACTAGAAATTGATTTAGTAGCTCTTTCTGGTATGTGTGGATGCACACAAAAAACATCCCTTGCTTGAAAATGTATAAAATAGAAGGAAAATACGGTTTCTCAATCTCGGAGCTCATCTTCATCTTCGCAGCAATCCCAATTTCAACTGTGTACTCTGATACTACTTATTGGAAAAAGAATCCCAACATATGTAAACTTGTGTGTGTCATTAAAGCCAAAACAACATAGTGACACATAATTTACACTATAAATAGATGATGAATATCCCAAATCTATTAATCCTATTTGAGTCAAGTTTTCACTCTACTAGCAAGATTTCACAGAAAGGCAAAACGCACATAGATCCACTTGTTACTTGGCCTTGCACATATTATCAAGCAAGTTGGTTCTAAATCCTTAAAGTTGTCCACGGTAGAGTTTGATAAACTGTACCATGATTGATCTATGCAAATTGTGGATCAAATTGTAATAAATCGAGGGTGAGGTTGGCATACTATATTGGGTTAGAGGGAATAAGATTAAGGTGGATTGTATTAACTATCAAGGTGAGTTATATTAATGTGACTGTGGTACTATATCGTATTAAAGAAAAACATATAAATAATAAAAAAAGTTATGAAGAATTTTGTCTAAATTTAAAAGAAAGTAAAATTACCACATTGGGGGTGGGCCCATGTGAATAAAATAGTGCAAAAAAATCCACCCCCTCGAGTGTGTCTTATCTGTATAGATTCTGTCAACTGTCTTCTGTACACGTAGTGGAATTGAAAAAGGGGAAATCAGTTTGTACAGAGATGAGTTTTGCAAAAATGCTACAAATCTCTCACGTTGGGGGTGGGCCTATGTGAATAAAATAGTACCAAAAAAACCCACCCCCTCGACTGTGTCTTATCTGTATAGATTCTGTTAGACATCTTCTGTACACATAACGGGATTGGGAAAAGGGAAAATCAATTTGTACAGAAATGGGTTTGACAAAAAATGCTATAGATCTCTCACATTGGGGGGGGGGGGGGGGGGGGGGGGGGAGAGGGGCGTGTGAATAAAATAGTGCAAAAAAACCCACCCCCTTAGCTATGTCTTATCTGTATAAATTCTGTCAACCGTCTTCTGTACATGTATTGGGATTGGAAAAGGGAAAATCAATTTGTACAGAAAATGCGTTTGACAAAAATGCTACAGATCTCTCACATTGGGGGTGGGGCCCATATGAATAAAATAATGCAAAAAACCCATCCCGTCGACTGGGTCTTATTTGTATAGATTCTGTCAGCCGTCTTTCGTACGCGTAGCGGGATTCTGAAAAACTCTTCAAGTTGCCTATAATATCATGGAGCTTGTCTGGAAATGATTTTTTAGAAATGATTTTTTCTAAATTTATTTTTAATATATATTTTATGTGATTCACAATTCTTTCTATTTTTTAACCATACATTAAAAAAAATATAGTTTTCACTTTGAAAAATTCCTCTCAAACCAACTCTTTATTTTCGAGACTTTGCAAGCACGAAAAAGGAATCATACCTAGAATATCATTAAGCCCTTGTTTGGTGGAGTTTAAAATCAGACATGTAGTAAAATTTGATAAAAGTTTATTAATTGTGCAGTTAAAATGTTGTGAATCCTATGATATATGTCGTTGAAATGAATTATTGATTTTGACTTAAATTACACGAAATAGAGATTAAGGAAAAAAGAAGTAAAAATCTTCTTTGTTGTTCAATTCATGCAATCCGTACCTAACGTACCCTTATGGCGTGTTTAATTTAAGGAGTTAAATAGGATTGAACATTTAAAGCGATTTTATTTTATTTTATTTTTCCTTTTAATAGTATTACATAACATTATTCCTAGTACAATTTTATGAATTATTATGCATATAAAAATCTATAACAAAAATTGAACAAGAACTCAGAAATTTGCTGATACGGTTGAAGGAAACTATGGGATAGGTAAAGCTGTACTTGTTCGAACCTGGTCTATTCTTGGGGTTGATGCACTTCAATTAATTAATTGTACATACATTTGTTGATTAATTTTGTGTGAACACAGTTCAATTCGGCAAATAAATCACTTCACTCCACATATACTGATCAAATAATTGTACTTTTGTAGGTTCCCACTTTGAATATTATGCATATATACTTGTTATTAGGGTTGGGTTAATCCGCTCAGCCCGATCGGTTTGAGTTGGTTTTTTAAGTTCAATTGAATTGGATTGAATTGAAAAAATATTTTTGAGGTTGGGTTGGATTTCGGGTTATGATTTAAAACCCAATCCAACCCGATGAATTAAAAATAATAATATCTAAGATGAAAAAAAAAAAAACCTAAATAAAAACAATATTAAAGATATGAAAAGGACTTATAATTTATAAACGTCCATTTTTTTTATATATAGATTGATTCCTATAAACATAATTTACAAAAGAAATGTTATTTCATAATAAAGTAAAAATTAAGAAGATGATGGTGAAATGAATAAATCCCAAAAAATCGTAGTAATAATAATAATAATAATAATAATAATAATAATAAATACTTCATAAATTTTAAACTTATTTATACATCATTTTCAAAAAGAATTCCTTACATAGGTATTTAAAAAAAAAAAAATCAGAGATTTTCAAGTAATTTCAAACTTTAAAAATTTATCTAAATTTAACAAAAATATAATCGAATCCAACTTTAATTGTATTGAAGCCCAACCCGACCAACCCAAACTTGATCGGGTTGGGTTGGGTTTAAACCATTAATTGGGTTGGGTTGGGTCGACTTTAAATAAAACCGACCATGTTGGGTTGAGTTTGGGTTGGGGAAAAAACCGACTCAATCCATGCCCATCTCTACTTGTCGCATCTGAATTTTATTTTCCCAAAAAATTGAGTTTCTAGTTCAAATTGGTACGTTCAATGAATCATGAAATCGATTGCGATATGTATACAGGGCGTGGCTCACAGGCCCTTTACAAGATGAGTGGCACACTTTTAAAAAAAAATGTCCATATTTAAAGGTTGAGTACGAATCAGGTACATGGAACATAGAGTAGGACCAACCATGCAATTTCTCAATAAATAATTGCATATAAAATGAAATAAATACCATCAGAATAATCTGAAGTGAAAAACTAAGGCCCTGTTCTCTTTACCGTTTTCGGACCGTTTTCTATTTTCGATTTTTCAAAACAGTGAAAACGTGTTCTCTTTTCCATTTTCGAAAACGAATTTTCGAAAACAAAAAAAAAATTTGTGAAGAAAACACAAAACGACTTTTTTGTCGTTTTGAGCGTTTTTTTTTTGGAGGTGGTATGGTGATTCTCAAAATTTAAAAAAAAAATTAAAAATTATTTTATATATATATACTTTTTTATTTTTGAGGTGATCTTGTGGTGATTCTCAAAATTAAAAAAAAAAATTTTTTTTTTTTGAGAAACTAACAAAAAGAACACATTTTCAACAATTTCAAAACAAACACTCAAAACACAAAACTCAAAATGAATTTAAAACTCAAAACACAAAACTGAAACACAAAGAGAACACCCCCTTATTATTTCTCTTTTGGATTTTCTTGCTAGGATATGTATGGTTTGACATTTTTTATAAAAAATTTTCCGAACTTATTTGGCTTTTGCTTTAGATAAAATCGACACTGCAAAAAAGCTAGAGCCACATCCTTTGCTTCTAATCTTTCTTTGTCACAGGACGTGATTTATGGAACTGTAGAAAAAGCCTTTTTTCTCTCTCTCTCTCTTATCCTCTCTCTTAATATATCTGTGTTGTATAAATATGTCATTACAAAATCTCTCTCTCTCTCTCTCTCTCTCTCTCTCTCTCTCTCTTATCCTCTCTCTTAATATATCTGTGTTGTATAAATATGTCATTACAAAATCTCTCTCTCTCTCTCTCTCTCTCTCTCTCTCTCTCTCTCTTCCTCTCTCTTAATATATCTGTGTTGTATAAATATGTCATTACAAAAGCCAAAGTACATCTGTGTAACAAAAGCCAAAGTACATCTGTGTAATCGTCATCAATGTAAAGGATACAGACCCACCACACAACTGCACGCCCACTGGTTAGTGTTTACTCTCTCTCTCTCTCTCTCTCTCTAAATGCTATGCTTGAAATTCAGTCTCCATTAGAACCCAACTCATTTATTGAGTGAAAAAGGGAAACGGGGTTTGAGAAAAGGTATGAGAGTGGTGGCATGGAGGCGGATGAGATTCAAGCTCGTGGGTGTAAGTTTTCAAGGACCAGTAATGGGAGGCTTGATTCAGATAAGCTAGAGCTGACCCGTAAAGATGATGAAGCTGGAGAGCCAAAAAGGGGCATCGGAGTCGATCTAAGTGATGTTGGTGTTGACGGACTTAGAAGGTTTTACGGCTGGTCTTCCTCGAGAATCGTGAGGGTTTCCCGAGTTTCTGGTGGAAAAGATCGGCACAGCAAAGTTCTGACCTCGAAAGGGTTAAAAGACCGCCGTGTACGCCTCTCTGTGAGCACTGCCATTCAATTCTATGATTTGCAGGATCGGCTAGGATATGATCAACCGAGCAAGGCCATAGAGTGGTTGCTGAAGGCGGCGGCCACCTCCATCTCGGAGCTTCCTCCGATTACTACTACATTTCCAGAGAATAATTCCAAGCAACCGACGGAGGAGAATTCCAGCACTGGTGGCGCTGCCGATCATCTCCGGTTTGATTCAGCTGAACTGGAAGTCGACGGCGATCCTAATTACCAACAACGTATGACAACAACGTTGTCCAAATCTCCCGCTTGTAGTAGTACTTCCGAAACCAGCAAGGGTTCTGGGTTGTCACTGTCCAGATCCGAAAACAGGGTCAAAGCTCGGGAGCGTGCTAAGGAGAGAGTAGTAGAGAAGGAGAAAGAGAAAGAGAAAGACAATGAGTCGACCCGTGTTACTCATAAGAACCCTATTTCCCAAACCACTTCTTTCACCGAGCTCTTAAGTGCAGGCATCAATAATGTGAATGGTAATCATCACACTAAAACCACTTGTGGTACAATTAATTACTTTACGAGTGGACTATTAGACCCGGCCATGGCGACTCGGCCAGGGCAGATGCTCACGGGAAGTCCATTATCTCCTCCACTAACAACAGTGTCTTCGCCCTTGTTTAGCTTGGCCGGTGACAACCCCGAGCTCCACCACTTCTCATTTCTCCCGGATCACCTTGTCCAAGTTCTTCCTTCTGCTACTGGACGTAACGAAAACAATAATATTCACAACCAGTACACTCTAGGCTTCACAATGTCGTCGTCTTCTTCTTCTGGCCTTGCCGGATTCAATAGGGGGACCCTTCAGTCCAATTCTTCTACTTTATTTCCTCGCCTGCAAAGGTTTTCATCAATTGATCATGGATCACAAACTTTCTTCACCGGCCCGGTTGCTGCACCTGTGGAGAATCACCACCATTTCCTGGCTGGTTTCGATGCCGGACTCCAGTTGTATCCTGGCAGCAGCGGCGGTGCTCATGGTGGCAGCAGGCATTCCGGCCATGAGACCAAAGGAAAGAACTAGAAGTTGTTCCTGCAGGTAAAAACTTCAACGCCTTAAATTACTGTAAAAATGTTTATTTACTTATGATCTGCATTACATTTGTGCTTATCTGATTCATTATCCACACATGGATTTGAGGGTTTGTATTTAATGTTAACTTTAAGGATTCTTGGTGCCTTCTGGATTGACATGTTCCATTACAATAAACGGACTTTGATTTCTTGGTTTCACAAAAAGTATGGCCATAGGTGCATATATTTTATCAGACATTTCCATTGTGTTGTCTTTTAATGATGTTACATAGATAACTGCGAATAGGGTTGGGCTGATTGTCTCTTTGCTTGGTTCCCTTCTTTCTGACATGTCTATGCAAAGACAAGGTACTTGTCTTTGCGTTAATAGAGACCAGTTTAGCATCGATAGAATAAGCCCTAATACTGGTCTTTTTGCTTGGTTCCCTTCCTTCTGTGTCTCTACTGCCCCCCTTAGATAGGTTAGCAGTAGGAAAACTGTGCCTAAGCTTAACACCTGGCAATGGACGAGTCTAAGCAGCTTCTAGGGTTTGAGTGTCATAGCATGTTTTGGCTAAGCTTATGATGAAATAAGTTTAAAATATATTGTATTTTCATTGGTCAGTGATGAAAATAAATAGTTTATTTTGAAAGTAATTGATAATTTCCTGTCAAAATAGATGATATTCTTTTACAGAATATGCAAGTTAACATAACATATGTAACCAATTCATCTTGTACCAGTTGATCAACGATAGTTGTTCCACTCAAACAACAACAACAATTACTTTAAAACTTGTAATTTCATTCCTAATATAATAAAAAAGAAATTTTATAATGCATCAATATTATAACTAGTGACATCCATAAGTAGGAGCCTTAATTGTGCCTTTTCAATTGATCAAAGGGACTCTAAGTCTTGGAGATTTCCATGTTTATAATTAAATTATCTGGATTGGCATGAGTCTTGATTCCCCGTTTATAATTGTTTTAATACCTTCAAGTTAAAATATATTCACCTTTCTCTGATTTTAGCATGTAGGATGCGTAATTATTACGTTTATCTTTGGTTGTTTGACGGCATTTGAGAAGAGAAATACACTTCCTTTGAATAAGATTACAATGAAATATTTATTTGGCTGTTTGCCTAAAATTATAGGTAACTTATAAGGAGGAGTGGTCCCATGAAACGTGTGGATAATAAATGAATAGTAGTTACGAATGTGTGGTTGAGATTCGTGTTTGACTTTGACGGAAATTATAAGTTTCTTAGTGATTTATCCCAACATAGGCCATTGGCAAGCTAATTTAACTATATACTTCGTTAAGAAGAGATAATTATATCAAAAGATGAAACTTTCATAACTATGTTAAAAGAGTGGGGTATCGTGTGTGTACACAAAAACTGGCGTTGGTTGAACATGGTGTAATCCTATCGCATATGGGGGGTTGGCCCCAAAAGAATGGTGCTTGGAGTGGATTCCTTGCTAGAATTTGAGTGGTATAGGGCTTGATTGCACCCTTCCTATCTGCTATAGTTTTTGGGAGAAATGTTTGTATATACCCATATGACTTAGTGTTTGAGGATTTATTATGGCCCTGTTTGATCCACATTCTTTTCAAAAAATATATTTTTTAACAGTGATTTGACGTCATTCCAATCACGCATTTTTCAATAAAATAATATTACACGCAAATTCAAAATTTTTCCTTATTTTTTAATCACATTTCCCATTAATATACTATTCAAAAATACATTCTTATGGAAATAATATGGCTCAAACAAGGGCTATATTGGATCTTCTAGTAGATATGGTTATATATTAAACGAAATGACAAAAATAATTATTTACGTAGAAAATAAGATTTAATTTAAAATTAAGAGGAGTAAGGCTTGAGATCATGGTATAATTAGCCCCTGTTTGATGGCCATTTTTTGAAAAAATGATGTTTTGAATAGTAATTTTTTAGCAATGTGTGGTTAAAAAAGTTTGGAAAAATTTTGGGTTTATATGCAAAATATTTTATTATGTAAATATGTGGTTGAAATAGAGTACAAGAATCAAACAATTTCATTTTAAAGGGAGACAAATAGGGGCATAAGGTGAGACAAAATTAATAAACCCAGAAAAGTTTTTTGAAACAAGATTGTGCTTAAAAGTAAATTTGATGTACTTCTAAGATTAGTAATATATTTCTTGCTTGCTTTTTTATCTTCTTTCCTTTTTTGGCCAAGGGAATTTCTTAATGTTAAACCTTTGCAATCTTACTGCTTTGATTAACTTCCTAGTGGAAATCAGTTGAATTTTTTGTCTACTCAACTTATGAAAATTTTACTTATGGTCTGTCCTCTAAGTTGGACTGTTTGTTATTGGTATTTAGAAAGAAAAATAAGATAAAATGTTGTCAATATGTTGTATAATCTTAAACGATGTTGATGCAGGCAAGTCAAGACGAGAAGTTGCCACAAGTCCCTGCTGGAGCATTCCTTCTTTGCAGCTGACTTTATGTTGTTATTGCATGTCTAAAATTATTACCACAATTGTCCATTGTCAAGTTATTCTACTGGCATTCACGAATTTAGGTTTATTTGTTGATTAGGTGCCAGTTTATGCGTGTGACGAGAGAGCGTGTAGTGATTGCAAGTTTTTGTTTTTAGAACATTTGTTTGTGTTTTGAACTCCTTGTTATCATCGTTTTGAAAAAATGATCATTCTAGTGGTACATCACCATGTACCGATGGGTGTCCATCGCCCCCCTATTGGAGGGGCGTACGTGGGCCACAGGCACCCCTCTAATAGGGGGGCTCCGGGTGGACCATTATAGACAACCCTTCGGTACCCCTCTAGGTACCACTAGAATAATCCAAAAAGGATTATCCAAAAAAAACAAACACTGAATCAGTTGTATGAACAAATCCAAATCTTCTTTTTTAAGGTATTTGGCCCTAATTTTTAAAATTTATTTTTCTCCAAATTCATTTTCTACCACACATGTTATGAAATCCACTATTTTTATTTATTTTTCAATCATATATTTCCCCTTTTATCAAAATTTACAAAAATTTTGATTTTTAGCCTAACCAAATAGGGGCTAAGTTATTTTCAGCTTTCTTTTAGTACCATTGTATTTGTTTTCATTTTCTTAAAGATTACCTTCTTCTTCTTTATTTATTTATTTTTCTTTTCCGAATATTGAGGAGGTTGACCTAGTTTTCAAGGCAAACTCTATAACTTCGTATTCTTTTTAATAATCATATCCAATACTCACCAGTCGATTGCCAATCTCGGTATGAAACTGTGAACATTTTGGAGAGACTAGTTCAGCTAGTTAGGCCTTCATAAAACTGCCATGATTGTTCCAATCCACAGGCCATAGCGGGAAAATCTGAACGTAACTTTTCAGAACCTGGAAACATCATCTTTAACAACCCATGCAGCATTAGTCGTAAAGTTCAATGCACGTAACTCAAAGACTACAACGCAGAACTCAACACTAGCCAATTGTCCTTGAATAAGGCTATTCATACACTGATGATCATCGCCAGTTTCGGGGCCACAGACTTCCATGATGATCATCACGTAGAGGAAATGAGGAGATAATCTTATAAAGGAAAATCTTGAGGCTGAAACTCGTACAATTTTTCAAGCAATAATGTTATCTAGCATTAATCTAGATGACCACTTAATAGGTTCAATTAAATGAATAACGAGACATTAAATTTAAATAAATCTATCTTTATTGTCATACAAGTGTCACCTAGACTCATCCTCGATATCAATGGAGTTGAAAAACAGTATTCTTTTTCAAAATTCGAGAACTTGTCTCCTCACTCACCAATGTTTATGGGTATGTGAACCACATCACACCACACGAACAATCCACAACTTTTTTTCCTGAGAAAGCCCATGTCTTTGTTTGCTGTCATGCTGAAGAAACATGCAATGTACACCATGGTCACAAGGACTGTGTCTTGAGAACATGTTTCTGAAAGACAATGCCAATTAAGGATGAATCTTATTCTGCTTCGAACACTAATGATACCATCACCAGATCTAACCATTCAAGGTGTCACTAAAAAGCCCAACAATTTCACAAGTAATGGAATGGCGAAAATCTATACTGGGTAACCCTGCTCAAACATATAAAAATCTCGATGCATTCATTTTCAGCACGTGGCAAATACCTACCAGAATCCTCCCCAAAGAGAAAGTCGAGAAATTCCTTTTACATAAGATGTCTGCCATATTTACATATTCATCAAGTCAGCGATCAACTAATACCAGTACATCAATACAAAGCTGAAATGTCCGATACGATGCTCAATGAAACTTTAAAGGGACATCACATTAGCAAGGATCTCGATAACTAAAATATTCACAGATATGTAACTAGTAAGGTAGATGACGGACTTGTTGGCACAAGGCTTTTACAACATAATCCAGAAGCATTTTGGTCACTCCCAGAAGCAAATGCATCCATCAATTCAAACTCTGACCTTATGCGGACGGGTTTATGGCTCATAATCAACAAATGGCCAGCATTTCATTTGTAATAGAAATCAAAATTATCCTCTGTTGGTTACTCATTCATAGCACGATTTGATCAATACAAATTTGAGTTTTTCCTGCCTCTCGGAATATGTATATCCTACTCCTTGAAAGCCAAACTTCATTTTTGGAAAGACCTAGGAGCACCAGAAGATGAATTCAGAACTACCATATGAAACAATTTTCCGGTTAACAAAAACGACCGATAAATAGTAGTATAAAATGCAACATGAAATGGATCCAGCAGTGTCAAAGCTAGAATGTGTAAAAATGCAAAATGAAAAGCACTGACCCTGGTTCAACAAATAGAGACGACCATTTGAAGCATTTTTTCCAATACAACTTACACAATAAAATGCACATTATATGTATGCAAGATAGAAGATATATGGTCATGGTACATATTCTACACGTGAGTTTTCATGTTCCCTACAACAGCGAAAGAAACAATAAATAAAACGTCCAGGATGTACATAATAGAGATACAACATGCCCAGTAATCAAACGTTCCAAGAGAATTGTCTGATCAGAGAAGCACGCAAAATTTATGTTTGATAGCTTGATCTTTGGTCAATATAGCTATAATAATGGCTTACACTGATCATGATAATAAAGTTCAGTAATTGTTTGTGTAGTTACCCATCTAAGTAATGGTTACTTCATTATTCAAAACAATATCAAATCCCCCTTCAACTTTTAGATTAAAGAAAGCATAGCACTTCCACTTAAACCAGCCAAAAAGGAATAAAGTGTAACTAAATTCAAAGGCGAAAATTATGTACACCAAAGAACTTTTTATTGAATGCAAACGCTTCTTTCTGTTATTGCAAAAAAGAGCACCATAAATATATCTAAAACACTATTTATGACAATGGGAACCCCATCCAAATTATAGACGTCGGCTATCAAAATTCTATTAATGAATTCATTAGTCCATAGGCAAAGCTAAACGACAAGAAACATACAATCGCCATAAAATGTAGATCATAAAATCAGAAAAATGTTGATGAAAAATTTGCGACAGGGTGATCAAGGTGAAAAGTCCAGTTGCGCCCTTAGCAATAAATAAAACTAAATTGACTGAACAAATTTACACGTGATTCAGACACAACGTCAACTTCTCAGAATCTGTACAATAAAAGAAAGTGAAATAATACCAACTATGCTCTCCAATGTGAAATCCCAAAGAGTTTATACATGGCTTTTATTACATAAGAAATCACACAAATAAATAGATTATTAAACCAATTAAAAATTTACACTAAGTACTATGAAAGGCATTACCTCAGACTTATTTACCGAATCCCAATTTTCAGAACGAGTTCATTTCCAGACAATAAGTCCTCCCCTTCACCAACATCCTCGCGGCTGTCCCATACGGCTCCTCAAAAGCCGACACAACCCAATTGCCTTCTGACCCCACCACCTCCTTCAGCTGCTCACTAGGCCTGATGGCCACTAAAGTTGCTCCTTTCAGTACCATCCCATTGGGCAATTCCAAATGGGGAGCATACCACAACCACATGTTCAGAGCTGGAACCAGAGTCCTCTTGGAAGCCGAGGAGACCGATAAAGGTTTCACCCTCAGCTCCTCCAACTGCTCTTCATTCATAGACAACACTCCCTGCCCATCTGCATCTGTCAAAACCAAGGTCTTCAGCGTCTTGTGCTCCGCTATTATTGGTTGAAGGAGATAATGCCTAGCAGAGGCCGCAATCAAGGAGCTTATTGTCCACACTACGCGTAATTTCAAGCCCTCATTTGTGTAAAATGATTCGGGTAAGCTCCCATTATCATTTTCAGCTCCAACGTCATTCCCATTAGCATCATTATTAACACTACAAGAACCAGAAAATTCGTAACTTTTTGCAGTCTGACTTACACTGGAGGCTCCAAGAATGACGCAATTATCCAGTGTGGACCCAAAATCCGCCTTCCACTTGAGCAAAGTGCCTTCATCAATCCCAAGCTCCCCGACAGGTAATTCAATTCTGAGAAGCTTAATTTCGTTAAAATTCTTTAAGACCTGCGTAGGAGAATGGTGAGTCACGCCGTTCAGGTCGGAAGCAAGGTTCAAATCTTCCGAATTTGATGAAAGTGAGTGGCAACGGGGCGAGGAAGTAATAAGCTGGGTTAATGACTGAAGCGGCTTAAACAGACCAGAGAAGACGAAGCGAAAAAGAGAGGAGAAAGGGTTGCGGGACTTATCGGAGGCAGAGGAGCCAGCCGAGGTAGCAGCTGAGGAGGCAGGATCTTCGTCGGAGATGACGCAATCAACCCGGACGATGACATTATCCACCTGCGGAACGAGCGAGTGGAATCGCTTAGAAACGACGCCGCAACGGCCCAGTGTCTTGACATCTCCAATTCTATTGAAGATCAAGAGAATAAGAGAATCAGGTAGCCTGTCGAAGATATCGATCGGTTCTGGATAACTCTTGCCGCTCAGATCTAGCCGCATCGAATCCATCCTCACAACTCCTGTATATACATCCGTACGTATAAATGAATATTATACAACTATAGATGTGTAATTATCAGTGGATTCTATGAGAAATTATGCATCTGAGAAAAATCATGGGTGTGGAGAGATTCTTAATTTTTTAGACAAAGATCTCAGCTTTGAACAATAGAAAAAAGAATCTTGATTGTTTCTTGGGTGGCGGGACGGCAGAGGAAGAGGAGGAAAATAGTGGCCGATACAGACACACAGCCCCCTTCTCTTTGTGTATTGTGAGACAGAGTATCGAGAGGGGGATAAAATGTGAGTAGAGAAACAGGAATGGAGAATGAAAAATTAGGGCTTGACGCTTGAGTTTACAGTTAGGGTATAATTTCTTACTATTTGTATTTTCAAATGGTAAACTAATTCCTTACAGCAATCATGCTACATAGATGTCATGGCTAACAGATTACTCGACATAATGTCACATAATTACATATCATTAAATTGTTTAAAATATAGTCAATTTTTTCAATTAATTACATTTTGCAACACTTATTATTAGGGGTGGCAAATGGGTTGAGGGGCTCGTTAGTTCGCCCGCTCGGCTTGTGAAAACGAAGCTCGTGGGCGACTCGGGCTCGTAAAAACACTTGCCCGAGTGCGAGCCGAGCGGATCGGGTCGGTGGGTGAGCCGCTCAGCTCACACAAAAAACGAGCCGCTCGCGACGAGCCCGCGAACGAGCCACGAGCCAAACGAACCCACCAGCCCAAGCTCGTGGGTTCGTATGAAATATGACCGAAGAAATGTGACCGTTTCAATCTCCCATTTATTTATTTATTTATTTATTTTTCTGCTTTTTGACCGTTAACGGTCACTGAATTTTTTCAGTGATCGTTTTGGTCCTTATATATATATATTTTTTTTCTTTCTTTTCTTCTATAAATAGTGGCATTTAGCCACAAATTTTTTTACAATTTTCTGAACTCTCAATTATCTTTCTCTCAACTTTCTTGTATTGTGTTGATAACTTGCAATTTTTATATACAATTTATACAATATCCAATTCTCATTTCTCAGTTCTCACTATATTTATTGAAATTTCATCCAATTTTCATTTCTCACTACATTTATACAATTATTCTTCTACTAGTTATTACTTATTATAACTAAACAAATGGATCCACGCTCATTTGTTGAAAACTTGTTCGGCGTGGGAGGAAACGAATCGCCTATGACACCGCAAAGTCAATTTCAGAATCAATTTGAAGGTCTAAATGACATACCCCTACCTGAAAATATTCCAGATTTGGATCTTTATCATCATGTAAGCGGCAATCCAAATTATCCAATTAATTTGGATGATGTTGACATTCCCGAAGAGGAACGGGATCAAAAAGAAGAGGCTGAATTAAACATTCCTGATGCGAGGGGAAAGCGAAAGGGGAAAAAAAAGCAAAATACTGGGATCACTTTAAGTTGATTTCAACGAAAAAAATCGTCAATGGAGTCCAAAAATCCAAAGCAGTAACTAAATACTGGCAACAAAGATTAGCATGGCAAAGAGGAATTGGTACCACCCATCTCAACCGTCATTACAAAATATATGTGGCCAAACACGGACTTATTCCAGATTGTTAAACACAATTGCAATTTGGCAATCCAGATGCCGGTGGTTCTACTGTACCACTATCCACATGGGTGTATTCGGAGGAGAAAGCTCGAACCGGAATGGTGAAACTTGTTGCTAGTACTGAGTTGCGTTTGGCATTAATTGACAACCAACACTACGTCTTATATGTGAAAGAATATCTGTAGCCAAGGTACGTTGGGGTAAGTCGAAGCACTCTTCGTTCGGATACAATACAATATTTTACTTCAACAAAACAACAATTAATTATAGATTTACAAAAATATGGGGGTGTCATAACTTTAACTTCAGATATATAGGAAGAGATTAATAAAAGAGCATATATAGCTGCAACTGCATATTATATAGACCCACTTTGGTACATATATAAAAAAATTATTATTTTTAGAATTATTGAGTTTCTTCACAACACTAATAATATATTTAATGATGTTATTAGTATTGTTAGAAAATATCATTGCGAAGGTAAAATTCATTCATTTACTTTCGATAATGCTAGTGTTAATAAAGTAGTTGTTGAAAAATTGCATAGGGTACTACAACCTGATTTTGGTGGGTATTTGTTTCATATTCGTCGTGTATGTCATATTTTGAATTTAATTGTTCAAGATGGTTTAAAATATATAAAGGATGAATTTCAAAATATTAGGAACGTATTAATATATATCACAATCTCTCAAAGTAGAAAACAAGTATTTGAGGATTATTGTGCCGAAATAGGAGTGCAAACTGCTAAAATATTTGTTAGCGACTTAGGTCATTGGTGGAACTTTACTTACTTGTTATTAAAGTCATGTGAAGGTTTTGAACATTTAATAACTGACTTTTATAATAATAGACATGTCAGAAGTGATGACGAGGTTATGTTGACTGAACGTAATTGGTATTTAGCTTTGAAAGTTAAAAATTTTTTGACATCTTTTTATGAAATTACTAAGATTTTATTAGGTGTTTACTATTCCACCAGCTGTATGGTGCTTGAACGTCTTTATATAATTGTAAGAACATTTCATAAATACGGAAATGACCATGATTTTAGTGAAATTATAATTGCTATGGAATTAAAATTTAGAAAATATTGGGAAGATTTGCCTATGTTATTTCATTTAGCATGCGTGATGGACCCTCGATATAATTTATCGAGAACTAAATATATAATTGATCAAATTTCAAACGCCTTAACATTTGATACACCTATCACATATAGAAATTTAGAACAAACATTATGTGAAATGTATGAATTATATGCGAACCGAATAGGTACCAATATTAGTCGGGTACCATCTGCACCTACTCGTTCCACTGAAATTGAAGAAGAAGATGCGGAAATATTTAATTTATTTCAAGGCATTAATTCGTATAAATTTGATTCATCTGCAATGTGTTCATCTACTACCCCTGCCACTGTCATGTCATCGCCATCTGTATCTCATTCTCATTATACATCTACGGGCTCAAGCCATAATGCATTGCCTGCTGAATTAATTGATTATTTCAACCAGAATATGCCAACAGATAAAACAATTAAAAAAGTTCAGACGAAGTAATTGAATTTTAGCAAAGGTATGAACGACGTTGGCCAGTTATATCTGCGATTGCAAAAGATCTGCTATACCTCCGGTTAGCACTGTTACGTCGGAGTCTGCTTTTAGTGCAGGTAAAAGAGTTTTGAGCGAGGTCACGAGCCAACTGAAAGAAAATATTTTAGAAGTGTTAATGTGCTTTAAGGATTAACAGGACACTCATTTTCGACTACAAGATAAGTATGCCGAAATTGCATGTCGTCAAGTAAGTGATATTTGATTTAATTATATTGATAAAACTTTTCTTTTCTTATCGTTACTTTTAATTTTCTTTAAAAAATTATACACGCTACAAAAAATTGTTCATGTACAATTTTTAACTCCGCTTACTGAAAATTTAAATAGTCGGTCCCAAACCCGGATAAAAGAGAATGATTTATATTTTATCGATTTTAAAAAGAAAAATAAAAAAATAAAGTTTTCATATTTATTTTTTCTATCTCTTTTAGTTAAAAAAATTACTTTTTTATTTTTCAAATTACCTCTTTGTTCTCCAAAAAAAAAAAAATAAAAAACGACGTCTACTCGCAAGCCGGGCTCGGCTCGGCCCACGAGCTACCCACAAGCCGCGAGCTTGTGGGCCGAGCCGAGCTCGCCCTTTCATGCCGGCTCGACCCATTGACATTCCTACTTATTATGTCAAAAAATATGTGACATAATGGTTGACATTATATCAAGTAATATATTAGCCATCATTTCTATGTAGCATAATTGTACAAAAACAAAAAATCTATTTACATCTTTCATATTTTTTTATTGGGTAATTAGCACAAAATGTCTTTACCTTTCAATATTATCTTGTAAAAATATATTTACGTCTTTCATATTTTTCTTATTTCAACGTTCCATTGCAGAAAACATCATTTTCACCATTTTTAATGTAAAATGATCAAAATACCCTCTCATTTAAATAAAACAAAACCAAAAAAAAAGAAAATAATAATAAAGAATAAATTACAATCTTACTCCTAAATGTTTTAAAAGTGCAAGTGAGTCCAAATAATTATTAAAATGTCTAATAGCACAAAACGTTCCTATATTTGGCCTATAGTGTGCAAAACATTCCTACGTTTCAAATTAGTGAAAATGACGTTTTCTACAATAAAACATAGAAATAGGGATGAAAAAGCAAAAAAATTGAAACGCAAGAACGTTTTCCTCAAGAAGTGTCAAACGTAGGGATTTTTTGCTATTAGGCCTTATTAAAAATTAAAAAAAAAAAAACTCTCTCTCTTTATCTCTCTCTTCTCTTTTTCTCCAAATGTGTCAGCTACCTTGGAAGCCAAAAAACACTAGCAAACCCCCACCCAAACTATTGGTCCATCATACCACCGAAAAGCCCTCACTTCACTCTACACATACGATCCATCATCCAATCTTAAAACCTTAATGCCAATATATTTATTTGGAATCGCAAGCCAAAATACCTAACTTGCGAATGCAAATACTGGCAACATCACCTGTTTCAAAGAGACCCATGTAATTTCCAACATACCAATTAAATATACTCACCAGGGCACCTCTCTTCATGGTCTTAAAATATCAACAGATGGTTCAACGGTTTGGGCGATGATTGGTTGGAGTTTTTTCACCTCTAACGTGGCAGTCTCATTTGAAGAAGAAAAGAAGAAAGAGAGAGAGAGAGTTTTTTTTTTTTAATATTTTAATAAGGCCTAGTAGCACAAAATGTCTTTACGTTTGACACTTCTTGCAAAAAACGTCCCTACGATTTTTGATTTTTTTTTTTTTGCATTTTCTTTCCTATTTCTACATTTCATTGCGGTGAAGGACCCACGATGATGACGGAACGACCTAAATAATCAACCCGTTTCCCTAGCAGATGTTGTCGTACAAATTCCACCAATTTCGGATCCTGATACAGTTGATTCATATAGTGGTCGAGAAGTTGGTTTTTATTTTTCTTGTGATGGACCTGGAAGAGGGGGTACATGTTAATTAGTTTTCACTTCTTCTCTTCAGTGCGGGGTAGAGTAGTTTGGTAGCTTGCAAAACTTCATTTTCATCAATTTGAAACATATGGGCGTTTTGCACACTATAGGCCAAACGTAAAGACGTTTTGTGCTATTATACTTTTTAATAATTATTTGGATTTACTTGCACTTTTTAAAACATTTATGAGTA